TACTACTGAAAATGTGCCCAGGAAGACTAGACCTAGAAAAACAACCCCACGAGAAGACTCAAGGATAGTATTGTTGGCAAAAAGGGAACCGTTTAAAGGATCAGAACTGATTCGCTCAGAAATATTTGATGAGGAAAGATTGAGAAGAGTGTCTGCAAGAACGATAAGAAGGCGATTGTGTGAAGTAAACATATTCGGAAGAATATCTGTGTGTATAAGTGCCACTAGTAAAGAAGGAAAAAATCCAAGCTAGATTAGTGTTTGTCAAAAAACATGAACACTGGATAGAACGTGAGTAGAAAATTGTACTTTTTTCTGATGAAACGAAAATTAATATGATTACTTTTGATGGAAAAATGTATGTTGGACGTCTTCCTATAAAAGAAATGGATCTGAAGTACATGAAGAAAACAGTAAAACATGGAGGCGGAAACATTAACGTTTGTGGTTGTTTTTCTGGTCATGGTATATGACCTATCAAGGAAATGGAAGGGAACATGGATAAATTCCAGTACAAGAATATTTAGTGGAAGTCATGATACCCTATTCTGAGGAAAGTTTGCCGGTGGTATAGACTTTCCAACACGACAATGACCCGAAACACACAGCAAAAATTGTCAAAGAATTCATAAGGAGCCAGTCAGTAACTCTGTTAGATTGGCTACCGTACAGCCCTGACATCAACCCCATTGAAAACTTGTGGTACCGCGTCAAGAAAATAGTGGCATCAAAACGTACCAATAAAGTACACCAACTTTATACGGCTTTTAAAGAAGCATGGGGAACACATTTCAATTGAAACTTGAAATAAATTGATTGCATCAATGCTAAAGCGATGTCGGGCTGTTATTGCTGCTAAAGGACACGCGATAAAATATTAATAACGTGGTTTTTTGTTTTTATAATATGTCTTAAATTTATCAAAATAAAGTTGATTTCAATATTTGCAATATATTTCTTTATAATCACTTAGTTTGTGCGTCTTTAATTAGTAGGCCAAGTCTTTGCTTAGGTCACGGTGGTCTAAATGTAGTTAAACTGAATAAATATTCGGGACACATGAGGTTTATTTTAATGTTTAATTCCAACATTTCACAATAAATGTCCGAATGATTTTAATATTGTTTCTAGCTCGTATTAAATTTCAACAAGCAAATAAAGAGTAGATAAACTATTTTGTTTTAATATCCCTTTAGTGTCTTTAATTATGTGACCACCACTGTATATATATACATATATATATATTGTTACGGGCCACAGCTGCCCCTGCAAAGGTATGGCGAGGGCCCATAGTAGCTTCCTCGACGGGCAGCCGAGGGTTCGGGCCCAAGTGGCCTTATGGAAAAATGACCTATCATACTACACAATAGGGAGAAAGCTAGGAAAATAAACAGTACGTACCTGGATCCGAATCTAAGACCGCACCAAGGCTCGGTCAGGCCGTAGGTAGAGTAGATGCATGTAAAGTGGTGTTTAGTGGTGTGTATATGTAGTTGACCTGGCCCAGCTGAGTTGAACTGGCAGCGGCCGGTTTCCATGCTGCCCCACAATGCTGCATCACTCCAGAAGGCGTCCCTAATGGACAATTTCTTTCTTTATTTCACTATTTCAGTCTATCAACTTTATTGTATATTTTTTTTTTATAGGAGAGGGGGCAAACGAGCATGCGGCTCACCTGATGGTAAGTGACTACCGCCGCCCATGAACAACTGCAACACCAGGGGAATCGCAGATGCGTTGCCGGCCTTTTAAAAAGGAGTACGATCTTTTCTTGAAGGTCCCTAAGTCGTATCGGTCCGGAAAAATCGCTGATGGTAATCGATTCCACAAGGAGGTCGTGCGAGGAAGAAAACATCTTTTAAATCGCACAGTGGTGGACCGCCAATCATCCAGATGGTGTGGATGGTATCGGGAGTTCTGCCGCGATGTGCGTTGGTGAAATTTGGCGGCTGGGATTAATCCGAACAATTCCTCAGAGCACTCCCCATGGTAGATGCGAAAGAAAATGCAAAGGGATGCAACATCTCTTCGCAGTGCCAATGAATCGAGCCGATCGGAAAGGGCTCGGTCGTCGACAATTCGAGCCGCTCTGCGTTGGATGCGGTCAAGTGGAAGGAGCTGGCACTTTTTTTTTTTTTTTTTTTTTTTTTCAATATGGATTATTACATAATACTTATTGAAAGTCATTATTTTATTTACCACTGGTTCGGAAAATACCTCTGTCCTGGGAAGAACCAGCAAGAAACCCAGCGGGACTTTTTTTTTTAAACATAATTTCACTTAACAATAATTTTGATTATACAATTTTAAATGAATTTTCATAGAACCAGCATGGTGCCGATCACCTTATTCCCAGGGGTTATTTTCACTCATGTATTCCTTGATATTATAATAACCCTTTTTGTACAGTTTTTCTTTAATAAAACTTTTAAACTTGTTTATTGACAAACTTTGAACATGTTCTGGGATTCTGTTGTAAAAGCGTATACATTGCCCCATAAATGAATTACTAATTCTGTGGAGTCTTGTAAGTGGCATTACAAGCTTATGTTTGTTCCTAGTGTTTAAGGTATGAACATCCTTATTCTTATTAAAGCTATTTATGTTTTTATGTACATACATTACATTTTCATAAATATATTGCGATGCCAAAGTTAATATGTTTATTTCTTTAAATTTTTCTCTAAGGGACTCTTTACAATTTAGATTATAAATCGCCCGTACGGCTCTCTTTTGCAAAACAAATATAGCTTCAATATCAGTCGCATTACCCCATAGCAAAATTCCATAAGACATTACGCTATGAAAGTAACTAAAATACACTAACCTAGCTGTCTCAACATCTGTGAGACTTCTAATCTTTCTTACAGCATATGCTGCAGAACTAAGTCTGCTTGCTAATTTAGATATATGGGGGCCCCATTGAAGTTTCGCGTCAATAGTAATACCGAGAAAAACAGTGGTATCCACAAGACTCAACTCCTCCCCATTTAAGAGCACATTGGTTTTCGAACTGGGGAGCCCCTGCCCAGAGATGGGAACAGTATTCCATGTGAGGCTGAACTTGCGCCTTGTAAAGTAGCAGGCGGTGTGCCGGCATGAAATACTGTCCCGCTCTGCTGAGCACGCCAAGCTTTTTAGAGGCCAATTTGGCCTTCCCTTCCAAGTGACCACGAAACTGCACGTCACTCGATATGTCGACTCCGAGGATACCGATACTGGCTGAGGCAAGAAGGGGAGTGCCTAGAAACTGAGGAGATACGACAAAGGGTTTCATTTAACTAACTTCAATTCAACTAATTCAACGTCCATCGTAGAATCGAACACGTGATACCCGATACAAGTAACGAACAGTAGTTCAAAGTACAATATTCAATGTCCCGGATTCAATTCTCTCCGAAGACAATTATCACCAAATTACAAACAGGGAACTAACGCGATCTATTCATGAGTCACACGGTTCCGCGTTACAAGCTCCTTCGTTCGATATTAAATACTACGCCACAATAAGAATTCAAAATCAACCTAGCTGACACGTAAATTAGCTACAGAGTCCACACACAAAAGGCTCTTAACGCTACGGTATAATTAAACAATGATTTCCAAAACAATCAACCGGGAGACGCCCTCGAAAAGGAATGCGCAGTTCAAATTCCAGACGTATCTCTACCCGGCGCGCGCGCGAAATTTCACGTCACACGAGCAAGTTAAATATTGTAAAATGCACTTCAACATGCAATCACTATATAATTGGCGCAATTACTTTCAAACGAAATTACTTTAATCCGTCGGATACAATACAAGCCTCTTGTCACGAACTTAAAACCTAGACAAACTAAGCCGAGGCGGTTTTAACGAAAACACAATTACGCAGCGAAGTAACGCGCACAAATTCTAAATTCTAGACCATAACCCAAAACCGGTCGTGCGAAACTTCTGCAGCGGTCACCGAGATACGCTAATTAACTGCACCGCTGTCCGCGAGCTACTGTCTCTCGCCCGCCAGCGCCAAACGCTGGAAAGCTGCCTTCCGCTGCCCTCTCCCCGCGACACGCGTGACACCTGGTACCATCGGGCGATTCGCTAAGTCGAACGTGATTGGGTGCCGTCTCAAATGACCACTTTTGGCCTAAATATATATATATATATATATATATATAAATCGGAAAATACAACAGGAGATCCCACTTCTGATGTCGGAGATATAAAACAGAGGATCCCGATTTTGATCTCGGAAATACATCAGGATAGCATTAATTGTTAAAAATAATAAAAGTGTGAGAGCGGATGTTCAACTTACTCTCTTGCTTACGCAGTTAATCATTATCAGTAGTAAGACAGCGTAAACGCACTATACATTAAGTATAGAGCAATTACAGTTTGAAGAATCACACACCAGTGTAACGTGAGGTACGTAATTACATGATAACACCAAAATATGTAAACCAACAGCAACACTACTTATCTCAATGTAATACAGGGCAGCCTCTCAGCAACACCAATCCTCCTTGCCTGCACTAGAAGAATTACAACAACGAACAGAGCCACAACACTATCTTAGCACTAGTAGAATGACCACACTCGTTGAATGACTTAAGCGGAATCTCTCGCGCACGGTACCTTCAGTGAACTTTATACTACAGACACAAGAGGGGGTTTCTCGATATACCCTCCATTCTACCTTGATCCAACCGGGTATTTAATAGACGCTCCGACATATATATATAACTAATTTTCTGCTCAGAAGTCAGTTCGAGTAGAAACAACCCTCTTTCCTGTTTCTGCTGCCTATAAGCAGTACTTGTACTGCTAAGTTCCGATCTGAAGGTTATAGAGAGATATAATTAATACAGGCTATGAAGCAATCTATCTTATTCATCAGATAATAACACACATATGTAGTTTTTTCTGTTTGAAGTTGGTAGCAGGTGCCCCTGGACTTACAATTAGATGAATTGTAAGTAAGTTTATCACATCCGTTTTAAAAACATATTTCCTACCATTATCAGCGATTGCAGAGTTGTGATAGCCAAATTTATTTTTGCCAATATCGTCCCAGTCTGTCCGGTCACTGCTGCCGAAAACAGTGTAAATTATATTGCAAAATGCATAGACGATGGCGAGAGATGAAAACAAGATTCTCCAACGGTTTGCATCTTCCTGAAAATCAAATAAGTTCATCTTATGAGTTTTGTTAAACGTTGTCAAATTTAAGGGTTCCACATAGGCCTCCCATATCGATAATCTCCTAGGAGCCATAGTTACCATGCTTATTTGTTCATTTCATTCATTGGTTAAAGTCCGCAACTGAATAGCCTCCTGGAAAGATTTTGCTATAGTTGCCACACTTTTATCAGTTGTAGGGTCAAGCTACAGCTACATAATAGTGGAAGCATGAATCGATCGCCTGGATTAGGGTAGGACCAGGCTATCACAGCATACCAGCGTAAAATAGCAGCTTAATGCTGCTGCGTTTCGTTTGGTGAATGTAGAGAAACAGCGACCATTTTACTGAAAACGAGGCATTCCTTCTTAGTCCTCAGGGGTATGTATGGTATGCATTAACAATTTGATTCTTAATTGAGAATAAATATTGATGACTTTGAGCCACAGCATCCACTTACCATCAGCTCTTCTTGTTACGGATAAATAAAAAAATTGTGAGACAACTGCCAGCATCGCAGAATAAACGGGAATATAAGAAATGTGAAAAAAAGAAAACATTGGTAGATTAATTGAAATTATTTTATACTGACAATCAGCCACGGCTTCGTCTGTATAGGATCTTTAAATGTCATTTTTTATTAAATATAGCCTAGAAATATAGCTTTTTATATGTTCGTAAACTTTCAATACAATCGGTTCAGCCATCCAAAGATTAGCTCGAAGAAACAGATAGACATATTTTTTTTAAAATGTGTTATTTATATTTTAATTGCATGCAAGTTAACTATCAAAGCATAATAGATGCCAGTTGTTTATAATATTAAAAACAGCAATTAATTTTTATTTATAAACTCATCATCATCATTACAGCCCTTCACAAGTCCATTGCTGAACATAGGCCTCCCCCAAGGAATGCCACAAAGCACGGTCCTGAGCCACCTGCATCCATCGACTTCCTGCACATGTCACCAGGTCGTTACTCCATCTCGTGGGGGGACGCCCAACACTTTGCCTGCCGGTACGAGGCTGCCACTCGAGAACCTTTCTTCCCCATCGGTTGTCGGTTCTTCGAGCTATATGGCCGGCCCACTGCCATTTCAGCTTACTAATCCGTTGGGCTATGTCGGTCACTCTGGTTCTACTGAGGGTATCCTCATTTCTGAGTCTATCACGCAGAGAAACTCCGAGCATAGCCCTCTCCATAGCTCGCTGAGCGAACTTGAGCTTCCTCATCCGGTCTGTTGTCATCACTGGCAACACGCACTGGATGTGCAGTCTCGTTTTCAAGTTTTGAGGTATACCTGACGAGAAGATGTGCCGTAATTTCCCGAACGCTGCCCAACCGATTTGAATCCGTCGATTGACCTCTCAGTCGAAGTTGGACTTACCTAGTCAGACTATTTGTCCCAGATAAACAATCGTCAACAACTTCGAGCTTAGTGCTCCCAACAACTACCGGCATAGGTGTGACATGGACATTAAACATGATCTTTGTTTTGTCCATGTTCATCTTAAGACCTATCCGTTGGCAAGCACTATTGAGGTCATTGAGCATAGTGCTTAGGTCCTCCAGCGATTCTGCCATAAGGACTATATCGTCGGCAAATCGAAGGTGAGTGATGTACTCGCGATTGATGTTGATACCGTATCCTTTCCAGTCAAGAAGCTTGAAAACATCTTCCAATGCAGCGGTGAAGAGTTTCGGGGATATGACGTCACCCTGTCTTACACCTCTCTGCAATTGGATAGGATTCGTACTCTGGTTCTGTACTCGGATAACCATCGTAGCCCTACTGTACAAGCACTTCAGCACTTCGATATACTGACAGTCAACTTGGCACCGCTGAAGGGACTGCAGCACCACCCAAATTTCTACGGAATCAAAGGCTTTCTCATAGTCTACATACGCCAGACATAGTGGCAAATTGTACTCCTCTGACTTCTGTATAATTTGCCGAATGGTATGTATGTGGTCTATGGTCCTAAAGCCTTTTCGAAAATCGGCTTGTTCGTGAGGCTGGAAGTCGTCAAGTCTGCGCGCAAGACGATTCCTAATGACTCTCGAAAACAGCACGTAGACGCGGCTCAGAAGGGAAATCGGTCTATAGTTCTTCAACAGAGCGTTGTCGCCTTTCTTGAAGAACAAGACCACCGCACTTCTGCTCCAGGCCTCCGGTGTAATGCCACCATGGAAGACGGAATTAAAGAGCTTCTGAAGGACTTCAAGTACCGGTCTTCCACCCGCTTTCAGAAGCTCCGCTGTAATTTCATCTTCGCCTGGGGCCTTGCCGTTTTTAAGGTGCTGGAGAGCCATTCTAAACTTCTTAGAATGACGTCGGGGATATGATCGGAATAATGTCGGATAAGACTCGCTCTTGGATTGTTACTCACACTTGCGTGTGGCTCCAACGATGACGTGTACAGCTGCCCATAGAACCTCTCAATCTCACTCAAAATCGCAGCTGCCCCGGAAACGATGCTGCCACACTCTGTCTTCAGCTTTGACAGTTGGCTCTTTCTGGGAGACAGATCTCTGGCAAAGATTTTGGAGCGTTGGTTCCGCTCGATCGCTTCTTCAATACGAGCCGTATTGAAGTTGCGTAAGTCCCGCCGCATGCATTTGGAGATCTGTCTGTTCAGTTGCCTGTATGCTGTTCAATCTGTTAAAGAATGTAGCTTCATCTCCTGTCTAACAACCATGAGATTAATAGTGTTTTTGTGTTCTTCTGCGGCGGGTCTTGCAGAACTTAGCTCCGGCCGCATGGACAGTTTCCACGGGCTTGTCATTCATATCTTCCTCTTTATTGCAGTCTTCTAGGCACTGAAAACGGTTTTGTTACTCGAGCTGAAAGGTTTCGGGACTTTGGAACAGTGCACGAGGGTGACGGAGCATTGACTTCATTAGACGAGACCTCTCCAACTTAACGTTTAGGTTCAGTGTATCTCTAACTATTCGGTGATCGCTGCCGGTTTTCACCCTCGCGATCACTGAGACATCATTGAACAGTTGTCGTCTGGTCGTCATAATGAAGTCAATCTCATTTTTGCCGCACCGTCGGGGCACGACCAGGTCCACTTCCTGTAGGGCCGCTTCTGGAAGAAAAAGTTCATTATAAAGAGTTCCTCTTTCTCTATGAAGTCGGCCAGCTGCTGGCCCCTTGGGTTCCGTTGCCCTATTGCAAATTTCCCTACTTTCAGCTCACCATTCTCTCTTGTGCTTAGTTCTACATTGAAGTCTCCCATTAACACCGTATATTGGATTTTGGAGGAATGCATGGCTCTAGAGATATTCTCATACATTTCCTCCACCTCCTCATCGGGGTGTGCCGAGTTTGGTGCGTAAACCTGTATGACCTTCAGCGAATACCGTTAGGTAATTCTGAGTATAAGGTACACAACCCTCGTCGACACACTCTCAATCTTTACAACGTTGTTAACGAAAGACTTGTGGACGATAAATCCGACACCTCCTTGGGACAGATGGTAGCCCTCCCCCTCTCTTCGGACTTCGGATAATCCTATAATATGCCAGCGTAACTTGCCTATCTTTTCTTTTCTCGTCAGTCCTCAGGTTGCGTGCATTGTATGTTGCCAGATCGAGTCGTCGTAGGTGGCAACCGAACCTCCACCGGAGATTCTTAGCACCCTCTGCCCCGCCGTTACCATGGTCACCACCGTAGCCAGGAATAGTGGGGCCGGCGGGGACTGGGGGGGGGCCGTCTCTTTGATACATTCATTCATAGGGAGGTATTTGCCATAGTTGCCACGCTTGGCGAGCGGGTTGGCTACCGCAGTTTTTTTAAATTGTATTTTTGCTGTTATCAGGAAGATGCATCTGCCCATCTCCTGCCTGTTTCCCTTTGTCGCTTTTTACGACACCCACGGGAAGATATAGGATAGTGGATATTCTTAACCGCCACTACATGGCACATAATATGTATTGAATAAATTACTTACCACTTCAGTGCTAAGAATGAATCCATGGAGCAGTGGTGTTACTGCGGCGAGAATGCTCGCAAAGGAACTGGACACTACAATTAAAGTACCACAATAATTTTGACTTATGTCGCGAAGATTTTCCTGCAAACATTACGTGTTAATTGTTAGGATTTATAAATTAATCTTTAAGTAACTTTTTTCTTTATACATTATTTAGATATCCATCCATTACAGCCTATAAAGTGCTCTGCTAAACATAAGCCTCCCCCATAGATTACTTTAAAGGTGGGATTTTGCTATAGTCGTCACGCATGGCGGGCCGTTTGGCAATTGCAGTTTTTATTATTTTGAGCGGTTATCATGCAGATGCTGCTGCCCTTCTCCAGTTTTAATTTTATTTATTTATTCCCTTTATTCCCCGTGTAGTGGTGGGTAAGAATACCCACTACCCTATATCTTCCCATGGGTGTCGTAAGAGGCGACAGGGGGAAGCTAAGACAGAAGATGGGCAGCAGCATCTTTCTGATAACAACAAAACAACAATAAATAAACTGCGGTTGCCGACCCGCTCGCCAAGCGTGACAACTATGGAATATACCCCCTGATTAAAGTTACAAAGAGACAGCCTCAGTCCCTGGCGGCCCTAATACTTCTGGTGGCAACCAGTTGCGGCGGTGGCGACTATGATAACGGCGGGGCAGGGGCTGCTAAGAATCTCTGGTGGAGGTTCGGTTGCCACCTAAGATGACTTGACCTGGCAACATATAACGCACGCACCCTTAGGACTGACGAGAAGATCCTGGAGTTGAACAAAGAGATAGACAAGTTGCGCTGGAATATTATAGGACTACCCGAAGTCCGAAGAGAGGGGGAGGACACAGTAATCCTCGAATCAGACAACTTGCTCTATCACCGGGAGGGCGACCATCTGTCCCAAGGAGGTGTCGGATTTATCGTCCACAAGTCTCTCGTTAACAACGTTGTAAATATTGAAAGGGTGCCAACGAGGGTTGCGTACTTCATAATTAGAACCACACAAACAGTATTCACTGAAGGTCATACACGTTTACACATCACCCTCCTCACAGTCCGATGAGGAGGTGAAGAAATGCATTAGGATATATCTAGAGCCATGCAATCCTCCAAAACGAATATACGGTGTTAATGGAAAACTTCAACGCAAATCTAGGCATAAGAGAGAACGGTGACCTGAAGGTAGAGAAATTTGGAATAGTGCAACGGAACCCAAGGGGCCAGCAGCTGGCCGACTTAACGGAGAAAGAGGGACTATATGATGAACTCTTTCTTACAGAAGCGGCCCCACAGGAAGTGGACCTGGTCGAGTCTCAATGAATTGACAAAAAATGAGATTGACTCCATTATGACAACCAAATGACAACTGTTTAGTGATGTCTCAGTGATCGCGAGGGTGAAATCTGGCAGGAGGCACAAAGAAACCTAAACGTTAAGTTGGAGAGGTCACGTCTAATGAAGTAAACGATCCGTTTCCTTCGTGCTCTAATCCAAAGTCCCGAAATTTTTCAGCTAGAGCTACAAAACCGTTTTCAGTGCCTAGAAGACTGTAATGAAGTAGACGGTATGAATGACAAGCTCTTGGAAACTATCCATGCGGTCGGAGCAAAGTTTTGCAAGACCCGCCGCAGAAGAACACAAAAACTCTCCGATCACACTCTTCATCTCATGACTGTAAGACAGGAAATGAAGCTGAAATCTTCAGTACATTTGCAACACAGGCAACGAAACAGATAGATCTCCAAATGCATGCGGTGCGACTTACTCAACTTTAATACTGCTCGTATTTAAGAAGCGATTGAGCGGAACTGGGGAACTGGGGGAGTGAAAGAGCCAACTGTCAAAATTTAAGACCGAGTGTGGCAGCGTCTTTTCCGGGACACCTGACATTTTAAATAAGATTAGGAGGTTCTATGGGCAGCTGTACACATCATTGTTGGAGCCACACGCAAGTGTGAGTAACAGTCCAATAGGAAGTCTTACCTGAAACTATTCCGATCATATTCCAAACGTCAGAATGGCTCTCTAGCACCAATACCAATAGCAAAATTAAAAATGGCAAGGCCCCAGACAAGGATGGAATCACAGCGGAGCTTCTGAAAGCGAATGGAAAACTGGTACTTGAAGTCCTTCTGAAGCTTTTTAATTCCATCCCCCATAGTGGCACTACACCGGAGGCGTAGTGCAGAAGTGCGGAAAGGTAACAACTCTCTTTTGAAGAACTACAGACCGATTTATATTCTTCTGAGCCGCGTCTACGTGTTGTTTTCGAGAGTCATTACGAATCGTCTCGCGCGCAGACTTGACGACTTCCAGCCTCCCGAAAAAGCCGGTTTTCGAAAAGGCCACACCATAGACCACATAAATACCCTTCGGAAAATTATACACAACTCCGAGGAGTACAATTTGCCGTTATATCTAGTGTATGTGGACTATGAGAAAGCCTTTGATTGCGTCGACATTCGGGCGGTGCTGCAGTCCCTTCAGCAGTGCCAAGTTGACTGTCGGTATATCGAAGTGCTGAGGTGTTTATACATTAGGGCTACGATGGCTTTCCGACTACCAGAACTAGAATACGAAACCTATCCAACTACAGAGAGGTGTAAGACAGGGTTTCGTTATATCCCCAAAACTCTTCACCGCTACATTGGAAGACGTTTTCAAGCTTCTGGACTGGAAAGGATACGGTATCAACATCAATGGCGAGTACATCACTCACCTTCGATTTGCCGACGATATAGTCGTTATGGCAGAATCGAGAGAGAAAGCCTAAACATATTTATTTATTGCTGAATCTTAAAGAGCAGCAACTTTACAAACAAAAAATACTTCAGATTTAGCATAATGCTACAGTAATAGAGTTACCGCAGCGCTGATATTCTGCCCAAGCCACTTAAGTCAACTCGCGAGCATATACTAATAACATACATATATTTATTATACACTCACGCCTGTCACCCAGAGGGATTGGCAGAGACTATGGAATTCCATTTGGCACGATCCTGACACACCTCTCGCTTCCTCCACATCCATATACTTATGCATACACGCTTGTCGGTTAAATGTACTCTTGATTTGGCCCATTTTCAACATATCGCCAATTTGGTCGATAAAATTTCGCCTAGGGAGTCCCTTGCCGAGTCTGCCGTTCACCTCTGTAACATAAATTTGCTTTGTCACTCTTTCCTCATTCATTCTCTCTACATGACCAAACCACAGAACCATTTCTTTCTTAATTCTGGTTACAACGTCATCTTATAAACCACACTCTTCTCTTATCAAACAATTTCTCACTCTGTCATTCAGATTCATCCCTAACATAATCCTTAATTACCGCATTTCTACAGCATTTATCCTACTCTCGTGCTTCTTCTGCCACACCCAACTTTCACTACCACACATTAAAGTAGGGACTAACACAGCACTATGATTGCCATACGTGCCTTTTTGGACACATTCTGCCTTCTCTCAATAGGGTGTAGATCCCCATTCACTCTATTTAGTAACATTCCTGATAACACGCGTATGATAGCACCATTGTTTAATTTTAATACGGAATTTTATTAAACTATTACTTACCAGAAAACCAGTATATTGAAACCCAAGTATTCCCAATATAGCAATTAACACTGTTAATCTTATATAAGGCCACTCAACCGTTATATTGGGCAAAATCAGTAATCCGATTACAATTGAGAAAGCTCCTAAAACGAAAAAAATTCGCAGTGTTATATTTTTGTTCATTTTCTTAGTTATTAAGGAATAGACGTTGTATTAACTGACTCTTTTAAATGTTTGATATGAGATTTTAAGTTATGTTGATAAAGGAAAAAAATATTAAGAGACCTAATTATTTGTTCACGCCCGGGGTTGAACTGGGAGAAAATGCTAGATACGATAAAGTACGCTTCTTGTCTGCCTTTAAACTAAGATGGTAACTAGAAACAATCACTTTTACATAATTTTCCCATCAAAGGTATTTGCTATAAGTGCACATGCTTTGCAGGTGGGCTAGACACAGTTTTTTGTTTTAATTTTACTATTAAAAAGAAGATCCTGCTGACCATAACCAGGAGTGGTTGGTTTCCCTCTGTCGCCTCTCATTATCTATGAAATATAATCCTAGATTAAAAATCAAAATGCAAATTCGTTATTGCCCTTGAGGATTAATATGAAATGCCTGGTTTCCAGTTAAAAGGGGTTTCCGGTTCACTACACTCACACTACGAAACACAGCAGAATTAAGTTGCTGAAATAGCAACTTAACTCACGCTGGTATTCTGTGAGATTGTGGTCCTTCCCAATTCTAGCTGACACATTCATGCCATAATATAACTACAGCCTGGCTGTACAACATATACATATATAATAATCTATCTATCTATCAATCTATATATATAAGAGTTTTCCACCTATATAACTCATCACGATATCTCTAACCATAAGGCCTAGTTACTTGAAATTTGGTGGTAGTGGAGTAAAGGTCAGAGAACGGATTTTATGAAATTATAATCACAAAATACAGCGCTGGAGTGTTAAAAAAAATCACTATATATAAAAACAAGTTGCTGTCCGTTAGTTTCAATAAAACTCAAAAACGGCTAATCTGATTTGGATGAAAATTTTCGTGTGTGTTTAAATGGGTGCCTAGATGGTTTGAATTTACGATTGGACCCGGTAGGTGGCGCGCTATTGTCGAGATACAGAAATCATCCATACGAAGCCATGGCGCACCGCTAGTAATCAAATAATAGCCTTAGACTAAAAAAGAACGCAATTTAGTGCAAACATATATGTAGTCTATTATTATACATAGAAGTTTTTATCTCTAATAGTATAAATAGTTATTTTAGTACGTGGTAGAACCATGCTGCAGCTATGTGATGGTTGTAACACCAATGGATCGGCTCGACCGGGGAAGAACCATGCTCTCATAGAATAACAGCGTAAAATAGCAGCTGAATGACGCTGTGTTACGTATGATGAGTGTAGAGAAACAGAGAACCTTTTTACTGGAAACAAGGCATTCCATCTTTATTCACAGGGATGATAACGCAACTGCATTTTGATACGTAAGCTGGATGGTATAGATGTAGACTTCTATGGGCCACAGCATCCACTTAACATCAGGTGGACTAGGACAAAAAAGTCTATGGTTTTAGGGCAAGGAAGTGCCCGATACGCTGTCTATTGCATGTCGGTGATCTTTCCATGTCTCCAATTTTTTTAGAGCCATCGTAACTTATAGGTAAAGTGCTCGTCGTAGATTTCATACTAAGAGAACAACTCGGGTTCAAGCATCGCCGTCTCCAATGAAATTGTCCATTGCAATTTTAAGTGCTGATTGACAACCAGCTCGGCGGTGAAAGATAACAAACGTGAGGAAACCTGTTCGCCAGAGAAATTGAACTGCAAAAAATGACAAAAATAGTCTACCAAAAGCTTCCTACGCGATTTCTGCTCTGATCAGAGAAACCTCATTTCACAACGGTACGAAATTTGGGGAAAACAACGACGTTTGTCAAACGCAAAGTATTTAGTGCCAATGAAATAATTTTAACTCTTTCATTTTGTTTTATTCTTTCAATAATAAAATAATACGAGTAACGTTATGAACGTCACTAATAATATACTATAAAATGTTACTAAAAATACCTGTTACCTACCACCTACCTACCTAGGGCATTCACAAATTTCCTTGCGTATGTCACGTCGCATATGTAAGTTATGAAGCCAGTCTTAAAGAACCAATCGACGGTTGGAGTTGTAGTAGTATACATAAACCATAAAGCAATGACTGCTAACATCGTCTGCTGTGCACACTGGAATTAAGAAATATACACACAGTCCATCTGATGTTAAGTAGATGCTGTGGTAAAAAGATAACACTAAAGTGGTAGTTGGTATCCGTGCAAAGCCATAACGATTCGCTAGCTTTTTACGTATCTATTTTGACTGCCTCATTGGTCTAGTAGTTGTAACTGCGATTCCCCATCATGAGATCTCGTGTTCGAATCCCAGGTTGGGCCAAATATAGTAATAATACAATGCAACTCAATACCCAATATTGAACACAAAGAAAACAAATAACATAACAAGAACCCTGGTTGGTCCTGATTTTTCTCCGGTCGTGTTGGATTACCGTCCCAATGGACGATAAGAGTAAGGGATTAAAGAGTGCTCATGTGCTTGCGCATACACTCAGCACTATAATCCTGTCCTACGCAGATGGCTAGTCTGGTCTGGAGTATATTAGGTATCAATCCCCTTAATACCTCAGCCAGTATCGGAACCCTAGGCGTCGACATATCGAATGACTTGCAGTTTCGTGGTCTTTTGGAAGAGAAGGCCAAATTGGCCTCTAGAAAGCTCGGCGTGCTCTTCTGAGCTAGACAGTATTTCATACCGGCGGCACATCGCCTGCAACTTTACAAGGTGCAGGTTAAGTTGCACATGGAATACTGTTCCCATCTCTAGACCTAGGCTGCCCAGTGCCACTACTTCCATTTGATTGTATTCAGCGCAGAGCGGTTCGAATCGTTGGCGACCAAGTTCTTTCTGATCGGCTTGATTCACTGCATCTTTTTGTGTATTCTATGGTATCTTCCACGGGGAGTGCTCAGAGGAATTATTCGGACTAATTCTAGACGCTCAATTTTACCATCACAATATCAAGAGTTTTAAATTTTGTTATACGAATAAATGACGTTGTATTCTCTAACACCGCCACTACATGGAGACGTAATATAATCCACTAGCCCTTATAAACACAACAGGCTGTTGTAAGAGGCGATAGAGAAAAATGAACACAGGAGTGGGGCAGCAGCATCTTTCCGACAATTCAAAATAAGTAAAAGCTGTGATTGACAACAGATGGCCTCCTATGAAACAATATATGGGGGAAGCCTATGTTCAATATATTTTTATATAAGAGGGAGCAAATGAACATGGATGCAGATGGCTCAGGGCCTTGTGGCATTCCTCGAGGGAGGCTTATGTTCAGTGGTGGACTCGGGAAGGTGTGTTATGATGATGATGATGATGAACGGGCAATTGGAAGCAAACTGGAAGAATAAGTCAAAATTAAATTATAGCTTTAGACTTTAAATAAGTATAGCTTAGCACAAACCTCCTCTCATCTTGATAGGCTGTAATAACAAGTGGAAAAATTTAAAAAATTGTTCAACCGACTTAAATATAAATTATTAAGGATAAATTAAAAACTACTGATAAAATTTATATGGGACCACATGAGCAGCACCAGATTAGTGTGGTTCTATATAAATTAGAGATCAAAATCGGTTCACCTAGAAAAAAGTTATAAGGTAACGAATAAAAAAAACAGTCGAATTGAGTACCTCGGTCGGTTATAAAAGGGTGCCGTGTTACGACATTTAATTTGCATATTCAACTATGCAGTTAAAGGGGGTAGTAAACCTACAATCTTCACTGGAGCACTTTCTATAGCTCCTTTACCTTCTAAAAAAATTAGGCTAGTATTTTACAGTTTAAGCCGTACCTCACCGGGAGCCTTAACGACGTTGGCGACACTCACTTGGCTACATTTGGCCGGTTGGTATAGGTGGCAGTTGTTATGGTATAAGTTGTCAAAGCTACATCGCCATGGCAGCCCGTTGAGGGATTAGAAATTACCTCTTTCAATGATAGTCCTTTTGACTTCAAATACAAGGGAATGTCAACTAAATAAAAGACGAACAAGATATTGCTAGCTGCGTGTGCGCATACGATTGCCCAAATTTGTCGTGATCGGAGAATATTGCGCCACGGCTTTTGCAAACGTTTCTGAAATTAAAAAAAAACGTTTCCGTATAAAATTACATTATTGAAGAATACGAGAAGAATTGTATAATTATTACCATACATTTATAATATAAGGCTGGAAGCATAATGTTCCTATTAACAACGAAAAATAAAAAAATGCACTTGTCAACCTACCTGCCCAGCGTTGCAACTATCACAAATGTCGTATAGTCGCATTTACAAAGTGTAAAATAATTCTCGTATTCATCAAGTGTAAAATTATTTCATTATTTACCAAGTGCAAAGTACGTAAACTTGTGATGTCTCCATCGCATCATCAGCGGCAGCGTAAAATTTGCGAAACGTCAAACGTCACTTAAAGCAGATCATGACAAAAATAATAAACCGTTGTCACTTACCATACGATAGCAAGCCAAAGTCTCTTTTATATACTCTTTTTCCGAATCACCAACAGCTTGATGCTCATCTGGTGAAGAAGCGGTAAGGAGACCCCACATCGCAGCCATTGAAAGTGTCATGATCGCTTGAGAATAGAAAATAAGCTCCCAACCTAAGCGTGTCTCAGACAGTAATCCAGATAGTGGTAAAGCGGCAATAATTCCCAAGTATAAACCTAAAATATTAAATTATTTATTAATTTTCATATAAAAGCCTTTGTGGTGACGAAATAAGAAATCTGTCACCCAAATTTCATCTCGTTATTATCATAAGTGGCTATTTATTTATTTATTATTCACCGCGTTCTAAAAGTTCAGTGCTGAGTGCGGGGAGGGGGGGAGGATATTTGCCTTAGTAGCTACGATTGGCAGACTAATTAGAAACCACAGTTTTTTGTTGTTATCAGGAAGACGCTGCTGCCCCGGATTATATAAGGGAATTGCGTGGCAAAAGGGACAAATATCCCCCCTATGAGCCAATATATGGGAAGGCCTATATTCAGCAGCAAATATTTGATAAGATGTATTGAATGAATGAATTAATTAATGTATGAATGGTAATGAAGTTTGATAAATCTAATAAAAATCAACATTCTGCTTAGATTTACCTGTATCAATTAAACAACCAAATGGGTTTCTCTCAATTGGTGGCAGCCATTTAGACAACAATGCTTGGTTAACAGGCGATATACATGCTTGCGTCATACCCATTAGAAAATGGGCGTTGCACATCGCAGCCCATCCACCCTATTTATATACATAAATCATAAAATTAGACTTCAAAAAACTTAAATTGACATGCATTACGACATTTTTTTTGTATTTAGAAATGAAATATAAAGAAGTAAACGAAAAAAAATTCATATATAATTATTTATTTTATTTTATTTCATTTATTTATATCTTCCACTAAAAAAGGATTATTTTAAAATACGGTTTCAAGCATTAATCATCTTTTAATCAAAAACAGTCCACTGTCAATCAAATTTTCTTATCTTTGTTTTCTTTTTGTTTTATCTTGCAGAAATAATTGGTCGGCTTGACCGGGAAAGTACTACGCTTGCACAAGATACCATCATGAAATAGCAGCATAATGCTCCTGTTTCCCTTTCAGCTTACTTATTTGTATTATGTTTATAGTACGAGTAGTATAGCTGAGTAGGACCAGTTTAAGAATATCAGAAGGAGTAGTCCAAGTGTCGTTCCGTGGGGTAATATGCGACAGAGGAACACCTGCCAAGCGGGGCAACTATGGCAAATTTACCTCCGTAAACCTATAATAGCGGCATTAGAGAATTCTTTAACCCATATCATGTGTTTTAACGGTGGTAGAGCCACGCAGCAGTTTTTGCTGTTGCATGTATGGGCCGGCTCGAGCCGGGTTGGTACCACGACCTCACAGAATACCGGCGTGAAGTAGAAGCTTTGCTTCTGCGTTTCGTCTGGTGAGTGCAGGTGGCCGGAGGCTCCCCCCCCCCCATCAACATGGTAGCGGAATTACACGAAGAACTACCCCAGGAGGGTACCAGCACCCCTGGGGAATCCCTCGCTGAGCATCCACGACCATGTTATTCCGATCCTGAGCGTGGGTGCTCAGGCTGCCCCGCGTATTCTGGGGGGGGCAAAATTCCGCTCAAAAGCATTACTGCTAGGGGCAAACTGAGCAAGAACAGCAAGGCGACCCCTGCCACGCTATCCGTGAATTTCTGCAACATCAGGGGACTTCACTCTAACCTAAACGCCGTCCACTACCATCTCGAGACGGCGAAGCCGGCCTTGCTCTTTCTGACCGAGACGCAGGTTTCCTCTCCGGCTGATATTTCGTATCTCTCCTACCCGGGGTACAAATTGGAGCATTCCTTTGTGCCTCGGGCTGGAGTTTGCGTGTATGTCAGAGAGGATATCTATTCTCGACACCTCGGCAGTCTTGAAGGTTCGGACCTGTCCATCCTTTGGCTACGCGTAGACAGCGACGACCATCCGCGCGTCTACGGGTGCCTCTATAGGTCCCATAGCGGTAATGCCGAAACAGACCGACTCATCGACCACGTCCAAATGGCTACAGATTTCTTGCTACAACAGGTCCCATCCGCAGAGATCGTGATCCTTGGCGATTTTAACGCCCACCATGCCGAATGGCTCGGTTCACGTCTAACCGATCATGCGGGGAGATCTGTTTATGACTTTGCCTTGGCATATGGTCTGACACAACTGGTTACTTCGCCTACGCGGATTCCAGATGTGGAGGATCATACACCTTCCCTGTTGGACCTTCTGCTGACCTCTCATCCGGACGGATATCTGGTTTCCGTCGATGCCCCTCTCGGCTCTTCGGACCATTGTCTGATCCGGAGTGTGGTGCCACTGACGCTCACTTCGCGGTTGCGTTCTGCAGGTTGCCGCCGTGTTTGGCATTACAGGTCGGCGGATTGGGACGGAATGCGGTCCTTCTTTGCATCCTACCCATGGGGGCGGGTTTGCTTCTCGCCGGATGATCCCAGCGCTGTTGCTGACTCTGTCACTGATGTGGTGCTACAGGGAATGGAACTATTTATTCCATCATCTGTGGTACCCATCGGAGGCAGATCTCAGCCTTGGTTTGGTCGCTCCTGTAAGACTGCATTATGCAGTAAGCAGGAGTGTTATCAAGCCTGGGCTGCGGCTTCGGCGACTCGGGATGTAAATACTAGCACACTTAAAAAGAAGTATAACTTCGCCTCCAGGTCCTTCAAAAGAGTTATTGCCAAGGCAAAGTCAGAGCACATAGGCAGAATTGGCGAGAAACTAGTTCGCCTTCCTTCGGGAACCCGTGCATTCTGGTCTCTCGCCAAGGCTGTCCAAGGGAATTTCTGTAAGCCATCACTACCATCTCTGCACAGGGCGGATGACTCACTGGCCCATGACGCAAAAGACAAAGCCGACCTTTTAGGCTCCCTTTTTGCGTGCAACTCGACTCTTGATAACGGAAGGAAAACACCGCCGACCATCCCGCGGTGTGAGTGCTCCATGCCGGATGTGCTGTTCTCACAACGCTCGGTTCGCAAAGCACTGCTTTCCCTGGACATCCAGAAGTCGAGTGGGCCTGACGGAATCCCCCCAATTGTGCTGAGGACGTGTGCTCCGGAGTTGGCACCGGTCCTAACGCGTCTTTTCCGGTACTCCTACTCCCAAGGCGTAGTCCCGAATTCATGGAAGACAGCTTTTGTCCACCCGATCCCTAAAAAAGGCGACCGCTCAGACCCATCCAACTATAGGCCTATCGCGATCACCTCCTTGTTCTCCAAAATAATGGAATCCATTATTAACTGCCAGCTCATCCGGTACCTTGAGGATCACCAGCTGATTAGTGACCGCCAATACGGTTTTCGTCGGGGTCGATCAGCTGGTGATCTTCTGGTCTACCTGACCCATAGATGGGCGGAGGCAGTAGAGTCCAAGGGGGAGGCGTTGGCCGTTAGTCTGGACATTGCGAAGGCCTTCGATCGGGTTTGGCACAAAGCGCTTCTTTCGAAGCTCCCTTCCTATGGGCTTCCCGAGAAATTGTGCAATTGGATCACCAGCTTCCTTATAGATCGGAGCATCAAGGTCGTTGTAGACGGTGCATGCTCTGACTACAAGCCTATTAACGCTGGTGTTCCACAAGGCTGTGTGCTATCACCAACGCTGTTTCTTCTGCATATCAATGATATGTTGCTAACTGGTAACATTCATTGCTATGCGGATGACAGCACTGGTGATGCTCTATACACCGGCCGTGCCAATATTTCTCGGGAAAACGTCGCTGAGTACCGGAACAAACTTGTGTCTGAAGTCGAGTCTTTGCTGAACAAAGTCTCGGATTGGGGGCGACTAAATCTAGTCCAATTTAATCCTCAGAAGACACAATTTTGCGCGTTTACCGCTAAAAAGAACCCCTTTGTCGTATCTCCTCAGTTTCAAGGCACTCCCCTTCTTGCCTCAGCCAGTATCGGTATCCTCGGAGTCGACATATCGAGTGACGTGCAGTTTCGTGGTCACTTGGAAGGGAAGGCCAAATTGGCCTCTAAAAAGCTTGGCGTGCTCAGCAGAGCGGGACAGTATTTCATGCCGGCACACCGCCTGCTACTTTACAAGGCGCAAGTTCGGCCTCACATGGAATACTGTTCCCATCTCTGGATCTGGACCTTTTTGCTGCTCATATACGTGGACTATTGAAAATGCCCCTCCGGCGGCTTAATTTTCAAAGTTAGAAAGCTTCCATAACTTTTTAGTTTTTAAATATTTCTTTGTGTTTTTTGGACTGAACCACTTAAATATTGACATTGGATAGTATAAGTAGGAAATTGTGAAAATGGGGGACGAACCCCCCCTATTTGTCCCAAGAAAATCTTTGGCGCGCACGCCCCCTGGAGGGGCTTCAGTGAGGCCTGCTGGTCCCAGTATGCCGAACCCTAAGGGTGGCTCGAGCGGTACGGCTGAAAAGCGGCCTTTAACGTCCCCGGATCAGCAGCAGCCTGTGACGCAGCGACAAAAAATTGAAAAAGAAAAGGAAAAAGACAAGAAGAAAGCAGGGACTGCGGCCCCAGGCGCAGTGCCTGTAGAACGGACTAGGTCAGCGCTTGAGGAGGACCTGGAAATCATGGAGGAGGAGTTTGATGCTTGCAAGGCTTCACCCTTGCAAATAATAGAACATACAAGGGCGGCAGTAAATACGATCATGGGAATCGTCTCTGGTCCAGGATCCAAATTGAATAAAATGGAGGTAAACAAAGTTTCGGTAACCGGGCAGGACATGATTGCAATGATGGCGGCGATGCAGGTACATGTTATGGAGGCTCAGCTTGCGCTTTGCAAAGCTGAGCGGGACAAAGCAGAAGCAGAAGCGAAGCTGGCGCGCCAGGTGGCCGCGTGTATACCCTCAGGTGACGGTGACCACGCCCCAGCCGCAGGTCCAACATTTGCAGCAGCACTAAGGATGCCAAAGGGCGTTGCTGCCATGCCTATGCCGGAGAAGTCTGGTCCGGTTCTCGCCTTTTACCCAGCCGACGAGCAAGAACACCTCAAGACGGCAGACGATACCAAAGCTGAGTTGAAAAAGGCAATTAATCCATCCGAGATCAATATTCAGGTCTCTAAGCTGAGGAAGATTGGAAATGCTGGGGTTGTGGTCCAGACCACGTCCAAGGAGTCAGCACAGAAACTGAGAACTGCAGCACCACCTACCTTAAGGGTTGCAGAGCCTCGACAGCGCCAACCATTGGTTGCGTTGCGTGGCTTCGAGGATGACGTAAAGTCAGAAGAAGTCCTGCCGGCCCTCCACGACCAGAACTTTGGTGGGGATGAAAAGTGGACCCTGGAGGAGCTGAAGAAGCAGTGCAAAATTGCATTCAAGAAATCTTGGAAGGGGAGCAGAAGGACCACGGTGGTGCTACAGTGCACCCCTGCGCTGCGGGATGTGCTGACCGCTAGGTATAGACTTTACATAGGGTGGGACGTGGTCGAGCCGTGTGATTTTATAGACGTCACCTGCTGCCAACGATGCCAGCAATACGGGCACCCTGCTAAATATTGCAGGGCAAAAGAGGAGACATGCGGCAAATGTGGAGAAGAGGGTCACAGCTGAGAGGCCTGCAAATCGGCCGACACTTGCTGTGCTACTTGTCGCAGGTTTGGCAAGCCGGGCGCAAGGAACCATGCCACGATGGCGAAGACGTGCCCGGCTAGGGTGTACGCGGAGGAGAGGGCGGTCAATACTACACAGTATGGCGGATAAAAATTACTTATCAATTGGACAGCTCAATTTGGGGCGCGGCGAGATGGCCACCAAGGAGCTCCCTGCACTTGCGAGGGACCTGGACTTGGATATTTTCCTAGTCCAGGAACAGTGGCCGCAGGTGCAGGAAGTAGTACAGTTCGGCGATGGATCGCAGGCTGGTATCAAGGTCTGCAACGGAAATTTGGGTGTGGCTGGATTGCCTCACCTAAGTAATCCCTACTGTGTAGTGTGCCATGTGGAGAAGTACGGTCTCTACGTCGTCTCGGCTTATTTTAAATATAGCCATAACATTGATTATCAACTGCAACATCTAGAGACCGTACTTGACCAGTTGAAAGGCAAGCGCGTTGTAATTGGAGTGGATTGCAACGCGCACTCGCCACTCTGGTTCAGTGAGGCTGAACAGATCGTAGGTAGGGGCCATGAAGCTGCTTACCGTCGTACTGCCATGGAGGATTTTATAACGTCGCGGGGATTGGTGATAGTCAACGTGGAAGGCCAACCGAGCACCTTTTCGGGTGCAATGGGTGAGTCCAATATAGATGTCACTCTTTCCTCCAGAGGAGTCTCGATCACAGGGTGGCGAGTCCTGGACTGCGTCAGCTCGAGCGACCATCGGCTCATAATATACAAAGTTGGAGGAGAACCACATGCGAGGCTCCCGGGGCCGGTGGAGGTCCCTGCCCGTTTTCGGGACCGGGGGGTGAACTGGGGCTTCTTTCGTGGAACTATTCATGTACGAATGGGCGCATTGAAAGTAAGGCAGCCGGCTGATCGTCTTTGTGTGCAGTTCACTGACATTGTGGTTCGATCTGCGGAAGATGTCCTGGGGAGTGCTCGCCCTAGACGGGAGGTCGGCTATGAGTGGTGGACGCCTGAACTTGACAGAATGAGGAAAAAAGTATGTGATGCGAGAAGGGCATGGCAAAAGACTAGAAGAAAAGGAGGCAGGTCTGAGGAATTAGCCATGGAACGATTCCATAGTGTGAGAGCGCGATATAGACAGTTGATGGGGGATACGGAATTGGCCCATTTCAGAAAAATCTCGGAGATGGGAAATGCTGACCCATGGGGACGTGCATATCAGATCTCTAGCGGGAGATATCGTCCTCCCAGTAATATCATTAATGCCATTGAGTACGCGGAGCGACATTCGGGTGAGGGAGGCCGTGCGGGGCCTGCTCGGGGCTCTGTGTCCGGACGATGATTCGTCCAAGGACACTGAGTTTCATGGGCGGGTGCGTCTCATGGCCGCCTTCACCCCATCTGGATCGGCTGCCGTTCCCCCAACCATTGGGTGTTTGGGGGGTATAGTCAGGGCGTTGCCCAACACTGCTCCGGGACTGGACGGGATTGGTGCCAAAATTGTTAAGAATGTGTGGAGAGCTGCACCTAGGGAATTCCACTGGGTGTATGCCAAATGTGTGGAAGAGGGGGTTTTCCCCGAAGTATGGAAGAAAGGACGGCTGATAGTTATTCCGAAAGGTAATGATAGGCCATTAACAGATCCCAAGGCCTACCGCCCGATTACGCTCCTCCCCATCTTTGGGAAGTTGCTGGAGCGAGTTCTGCTGCGGTGTGCTCCGAGCTTGGTGAGGGGCATATCGGAATACCAGCACGGGTTTTCGCCGGGTCGGTCTACGGTAACGGCGCTGCAAGACGTGCTTAGTACTGCGCGCGAGTCGCAGCGCAAGTATGTACAAGCCGTCTTTTTGGACATATCAGGAGCATTTGATAATGCATGGTGGCCAATGATACTGCTGAAGGCAAAACAAGGAGGGATTCCACCTAATATCTACCGCATGTTGGTGGACTATTTCACCAACAGGCGAGTGGGTATATTCGTGGGTGACTGTGCCGAATGGAAACGCTCGACCATGGGTTGCCCGCAGGGATCGGTCCTTGGACCGACCTTGTGGAATTTACTGCTGGATGATTTGTTGAGGCTGCCGTTCCCCTTAGGGACGAAAATGTTGGCGTATGCAGACGACGTGATACTTTTGATAGAGGCGAACTCTAGAGCTGAAATAGAGAGAGCGGCCAAATCTGCACTGGAGTTGGTATCATCGTGGGGAGAGAGGAACCGGTTATCCTTCTCCTCCGCGAAGTCATGTACCATGACCATTAAAGGCAAGTTCCAGCGACCACCTGTTATAAGGATGGGGACTGAGTCAGTTAAAAGCGTAACGTCGACCAAGGTATTGGGTGTCACGTTAGACACGAGTCTGTTCTTTATTCAGCACGCCAAAGATATGGGAGAGAGGGCTGGGCGATTCTTTGGGAAGATGTCGCGGGTGTCGGCATCTTCTTGGGGCATACGCTACCCCGCACTCCGTGTTCTATATAAGGGTACATATGTTCCAATAGTGACATATGCTGCAGCCGTTTGGGTTGATCGGGTGGGGAACTATACAGTGCGAACGGCACTGCTGAGATCGCAGAGATCTTCGCTCGTGCTGTTGACAAAGGGGTACAGGACGATAAGTACTGCGGCGCTCCCGGTATTAGCCGGCGTCCTGCCGGCCGATCTGGAGGTAACTCGTGTTGGTAGGATTGACCAGGCGCGTAGAAACGTTGAGAATGGGGAGTTGAGCAGGCGTAAGCGCGAAATCTGGGTTGAAGTTATGGATGTATGGCAGGAACGATGGATGAACGAGACGAATGGAAGAGAGTTATTCTGCTTCTTCCCGGACGTGTCGGCGCGGCTCAATGCGAATTGGGTCGTGCCGGACTATCAAGTCTCGCAGATACTCAGTGGGCATGGATGTTTTCGAAAGAGACTGCATGACATGAAATTGGTTGAATCTGGTATGTGTGATTGCGGTGCTGCCTATGAGGATAGGCATCACGTGCTATGGGAGTGCGAATTGTATGATGACCTGAGATGTAAGATGATGGACGGAATAGTACGCAGAGGGGTGGGTCCGGTTTACTACCCGGACCTCGTGGACGGTAAGGAGAGCTTTGGCCGGCTGCGGGAGTTTGCGCATGGTTGGCATGCGCGGAGAATTGCGATGGAGAGGAACGAAGTAAGGATTCTGCCCGGAACCGAAGGCGTAACGTGTTCGTCCAGCCCAGAAAGGGAGAGTGACACTACGGGACAAGGAGTAGATTAAATAACTTGTAGAGAGTCAAGAAAGTGCATGCGGGAAAGAGCCCTGAGCAAGTACCGCGTGCATCTCTCGAGATTCGGCCCGTATAACCGTAAGGTTGGTGGGGCCATGGGAGGTGGAGGGTTCTTCCCATCTCTGGGCAGGGGCTCCCCAGTGCCAGCTCCTTCCACTTGACCGCATCCAACGCAGAGCGGCTCGAATTGTCGACGACCGAGCCCTTTCCGATCGGCTCGATTCATTGGCACTGCGAAGAGATGTTGCATCCCTTTGCATTTTCTTTCGCATCTACCATGGGGAGTGCTCTGAGGAATTGTTCGGATTAATCCCAGCCGCCAAATTTCACGAACGCACATCGCGGCAGAACTCCCGATACCATCCACACCATCTGGATGATTGGCGGTCCACCACTGTGCGATTTAGAAGATGTTTTCTTCCTCGCACGACCTCCTTGTGGAATCGATTACCATCAGCGATTTTTCCGGACCGATACGACTTATGGACCTTCAAGAAAAGAGCGTACTCCTTTTTAAAAGGCCGGCAACGCATCTGCGATTCCCCTGGTGTTGCAGTTGTTCATGGGCGGCGGTAGTCACTTACCATCAGGTGAGCCGCATGCTCGTTTGCCCCCTCTCCTATAAAAAAAAAATGTAGTAAGAGGTGACAGTGGGAGATGAAATAGGAAAGAAGCAGCAACTTCATAATAAAAACTGCGGTTGAGAAAGAGGCAATCAAATTGGAGGTCCATTAGATGACTTCGGTTGTGATGAATGAATGGTGTAGGGACTAATGCCCAAATTATCAAACGCTCAATTTTATGATGCCGTTAAGTATCGTGTTGTTGTTGTTAAGTTATAAAGAACTTTAAATCAAAGTGACTGTGACACCATGAGACAAAACAATACCTTATAATTTTGTAACGTTTGAGTATTTGGGTTTTAATGGCATAAATTTGTGTTACTATCCTCATTACTCATTAAGAATCGTGTATTGCCGCGAATGTTACTGAAGTACATTATTGCTCAGTAAATAAGACCTTTGATAAAGTAAGATATCATAATCAAAATATTGCATTATTTTCGCCATTTGTACCTTCAGTACAACAAAGTTTTAAATAAATAAAGTATAATATCATAAAGTAGCAGCAAAATAATTACCCTATTAACTATTGTAGGCATTGCAGCACTTAAAGCGCCATTAATTAAAAGCACGGATGTTATTACAAACTTATCACCGAAACTCTTCAAGTAAAGTTCAGCTGGAAGCAACATGACTGCATATCCGAAGAAGAAAGATGATATAATTGTTCCTTGAACTCGCCTGTCCCAGTCATGTATCTGAGAAAAACGTTATTTGTATTTTATATTTGTTTTATTATGCACTCATGACATGCATGGCTCTTTTTTCTAGAGTTTTATAACGTTAGAGGTTCACAAAGTATAAGTAATTCGATGATATTTTTTATAGAATTGTAGTAAAATATAAATGTAATAAAATTAAATGAAATAAGAGTTTACACAGAAATAACATGATATAATTCCTCGCTCCCTTTTACACCATTGGAAATTTAACCACAAGCGTGCACCAGCAGCCAGCTGTGTTCTTTTTTCATCTAAATCTACTAAAGTATTTTGATTTTTACAGTGGATAAATGTAGGATCCATAGCGGGTCTCTGGGACGCAGCATCCGCTTACCATCAGGTTGACTGTGTGTTCGTTTTTCACCCCTTCTCTATGAAAATAAATGAAAGAAATATTTAATTACTTGAATGTAAGAGTCATTGCGTCGTGTAGAATCCACTATTGCCAATATTTCGATTCCAATACAACCACGCATCCCTCCCATCACGACGGAACCTAGGAACATGTACAACATTTGTACATGACGGACTCCAATTTTAAACTCTGAAATAATACACAGAAATCTATTTTAAAATTTTACGCAATTAATGCAAGAACTAACTCGTTCAGAATTCCAAATATTGTTTACCGTTACAGCTTACTAACGTCCACTGCTGAACAAAGGCTTCCCCATAGATTGCCTTATAGTGCTTGTATATTTGCTATGGTTGCCACGTTTGTTAGTTGTTATTAGGAAGATGCTTGCTGCCCATCTTCTGATTTGTTTCCCTCTGTCGTACCCTCGGAATCATATGGGGTATTGGATATTCTTACACCACCACAATATGGTAATATTATTTAAAAAATAAAATGATAGTTAATGTTAACGTTTCACAAAATGAAAAAGAAAACTCACTTGTTTTTGTAATGACACCCTCATAGCTATCTTGAAATTTGTATTTCAAAAATTCCACGTACATCTTTTGTTTCTATCATAACAAAACGTTATAACGAACAAAAATGTGTCTCTGTTGTCTCTCACAGCATCAGTACCACTATTTTTATTAGCAAACGCAAATGAATCTCCACTCATCGCACTTCATAGAACGTTATCTACGAGACGGTTGTTTTATAATTCTGTTATCCTAATGTACATTTGATATATTTGCATTGTCAACTGTCTCCTCTAAATGCGTAACATTTGTCAAGGTGTTATCTAAACTATTGTTTGAAACAACCTTAAACCCTTTATTTGGCGTACGATATATTTTAGAATCGGAATTAAATAATATGCATATAGTATTAGTCAAGTGAATGCAAACTGTCATAGTAATATTTGTCACTTTCAAGAATGATTTTAAAAATAGCTTGCTTGACTTTGTTAAACAATAAAGTTAAGTTATGAGGTAAAGTATCAAATTGCAAGTTATAAAAACCTCTTGTGTTTGTTGATTGATTTCGCTTAATCATTATTAGATTTACTAATGATATTATTCCTTCACATTCTGCGTGGTAAATTATTGTGGCACCGAATTTAATTACATTTCCTAAATTTCCTAATTTATTTTATAGTTCAGATTAAAATATCGAGAAAAAAAAAACTGTTTATTAAATATGCACGCAAAACTACAATGTGTAATTATAGTCATAAAAACGTTCATAATTTACAAAAACAAAACCAAAGAATTGTTTTAATTCCTTTGAGAGTATCATTTTTTATGAACTATAATTAGGATTACGTTATCGTAGATGTAAACTACTATATATATTTTATCTGACAAAAGGCGTAAATAATGAAGTCAAGGCGACATACACTCGCGAGCAATGAAAACGGTTCGGTTACCAAAATATGAATATATTACTAATACTATGTTAACGAAATAATAAACTGCATTCATTAACCTATAAGTACAAATTTTTAATTGTCAGATAAATTATCTTCGTGGTAGAGCCATGCTGCAGCTATATTAATGGTATAGCTGTAGCACGAATGGATCGTTTGACCGGGGAAGGACCACGCTCTCACAGAATACCAGCGTAAAATAGCAGCTTAATGCTGCTGTGTTTCATATGGTGAGTGTAGAGTACCGGAGACCCATTTTACTGGAAAAAAGGCATTCTATCTTAGTCCTCACAGCTGACAACTCATCTGCATTTTAATTCCCAAACGAAAATAGATGTAGATGTCTATGGGCAACCACTTGCCATCAGGTGGACTGTGTGCACGTTTGTGACCCTTATTCTATAAAAAAATATTTATCAAATAACTCGACTGAATATAAAAGAGAAACAATTGAACCTTTTTTTATTCATAGAACTGTTAATTTTTATTTTACATTTTATCTTACAAATGACTTTGACCTAATGACAAAAATGAGCCATGGCAACGAAAGAGAAATGTACGGCTAGTTTTATTACGATATAACTATATAAAATTATATGTGCTGCCGACTCCTTTTCTGCGTTGAAATCCTCCTGGGTAGGTACCACCCACTTACCTATTTCTTCCGCCCAATAGCAGTGCATGCACCGCTATGTTCCAGTCTTTGGGTGTAGAGTGATAGTTGTCAGAGGTGACAATGCATCAATTAGCATTTGAATATTAGCTTTTGAACTTAAAGTTAACCTATCGGCAAGTGGGTGACGTATGCGATTTGTTTTATTTATTTTGTATCCGTGAAAACTTAAGTTCAGTTTCCGCAGAAAGGTAAACTGCAGTGTCTCACATTGCACCTCTTTACTCTCTACAGCGCACCAGGGCGCTGTGGCGCACATTTTGGGAACCTCTAGAGCAGACAAAGGAGAGTGTCCACATTCTTCTAAAGTTACACAGTCTAGGTGATAGGACTCTTTTTCTACTTATCAGTATCACATACCAATATGACAACACACCCATTTCTTACGCCAATAGCAGTATATTCGCTGTTGTATTTCGGATGGTATAGAAAAGGGACTGCTAAAGTGGGTACCTACCTACCTACCTTTTCGCTGAGAACGCTGGTGACTTTTCCGCAGAACCTAGGGATACCGCGAAAATGTCACCAGCGTTCTACAAATATAACCTTCTTCATTAGAAGTTGTTTGCAGGTGTTCATGGTGTGCAGACGCCACTTACCATACGGTCGCCAGTAAGTTCGTGTGTCATTTTAATTTTGTAAAAGTAATATCTAGATTATAATATATAATATAGATAATATTATACACTTAAAAAAGATTATGTAAGGGATAAAATAAAGCTAAATAAATAAATAAACAAATATCTAGACTAGCACTTGGCGATTGAGGTTAATGCGCGAAGAAAGAAAAACAATTTCCATCATCCTTGAGGTTCACGGATCGTCCAACAATCTGCGGTAAAATGTAACACCTACCGCGAGACTGACGACAACCGCGTGACCATTAATTTGTTTTGGCAACCCCTCACCTGACTGACGTTACTCGGCCACTCAGAGAATCAGGGCAGAATCAGACTGCATTGCCAATAATTGTTCAGGCTTTACACACACAACCATACAATTATTTAAATAAATGTCTGTTATCTTGTTTTGTCAAAGGATTGTTCCTTATATTAAATACCTACTTTTTTCTTTTTTTTAAATACTCCCAGAGCTCATAGAGAACGGCTAAATATTTAAGACCAGTGCTAAAACATAGTGTATAGAAGACTTAAACCTCGAATTAAAAATGTTTGAATACTTATTTTTTACTAAAAGTTTTTGTTAACTCTTTTGAGTGGACTTAGGAATATAATATACCCTCATCTCTCATTTTCTCTCTTTTTTTCAATTCAGGAAAATATTGCGATACATATTTATATACAAAAATAAAATATGTATATTGTCGTAATGTAAACTTCCTTTTTTATGAAGTCAGTTATTGTTTTGATGGTGCCATTCCATTTTTTGGGCTTGTGGTTTACAGTGTGCTTCAATTCAATGACCTTAAATTACATTCAAAGCCATCTTAATGTTAATGCGTCATAAGAAGTGCATTTGAAGCAATATATATATATATATGATTATATGATAATATGATTTTTTAAATTTGCGCGATATAATAATATAATTTCTTAAATTTACGCGAATACTACACATGGACAAAAATTAATTTTACGAATTTTATCGCATTTAATTTTAAGCTTTTTTAAAATTCCTGTTACCGTAAGTTGTTTAACGTCCGGGTATCATTGTGAACTAAGGCTACCGTCAAATTTTATTTATTAATATTTGGTACGATCTACACAAAATGAGCTTACAATATCTTGCAGTCTTCCAGTAGTAAACTTTTTTAACTTTCCGCTTTGAAAATAATAATATTCTAATTAGGTTCTAATTAGGTCCTAGGAACCCGTTCCGACTATCCCTGGCTGGACGTGTGGCCGCGCATGCGCGCGCGGGCGTTTGTGTGTGTGTGTGTGTGTGTATGTGTGTGTGTGTGTGTGTGTGTGTGTGTGTGTGTGTGTGTGTGTATGTTTTTTCTAAATTACTCAAAATATTAGATTAATCAACTCCAGACATGAGATACACTTTTTTTTACTGAAAAAATTCAAAGTCAAAATCGAACGACGCATTCAAAAATTATTTCTAAATAATCCTTCCCGCTTATTTTCGAGCGTTGCGAAAAAATAGGCGGGAAGTTCCAGAGATGCCGTGCAGACCGTTTTTTATAGAACATGGGTGACAAGCGAGCACACAGTCCACCTATTGGTAAGTGGATGCTGTGGGTCATAGACATCTTCATTTATCCTCGATGAAGAATCAAAATGCAGATGCATTGTCACTTTTGAGGACTAAGATAAAATGCCAGTAAAAAGGGTCACCGGTTCTCTACACTCAACACACGAAACTCAACAGCATTAAAGTTGGGTTCAGATTTATTTTCCAACCTCAGTCAGGTCCTCTCTATTGGAATAAGATTTCTAAGATTAAGATTTTTATTTTAATAGCAATAATACTTTTGCGAGGATTTATGATCAACCAAATCTGATATAATGTTTGGGATGACTTTGAACTGTTGACTACGCAGGACAACGTTATATCATAAGTACACGCAGTGTGTGCGTAAATACAGATGCTTTCTTTCTTCTCTGAATCCCAAATTCAAAAGAAAAAGACCCTTTAACTGATATGGGCCTTACCCGGGATTAAAACCCAGGCCCTCATATGAGCAGTCGTGCTTACGACCACAATACCAACGAGACGGTTACCACTTACTACCGAGTAGAATAGCTTGTACAACTACTTATAAGAAATGACCGTGTAGTGAGGGTATAGGAATATCCACTACCTCACATCTTCATATCATCCCGTGGGTGTCGTAAGAGGTGACAGAGAGAAATTGAAACAGGTGATGCGCAGCAGCATCTTCCTGAAAACATCATAATCATAAATCATTTATTTTCAAGAAATATGGTTGGTACACAAGATGTTAAAGTAAGTTATAGCACAGGACATATTTCGCCCTCATTACGGTCATGCAAAATCATAGTAAATTTACAACAATTATTTGAATAAAATTACGATTATTAGAACTATTTGAATTACAATTATAACAATTATTTGAATTTCATGATTACAATTACATAAATTATTGAATTATTATAATATACTAAGTCACAAGAATTAAAAAGAAAGATCTAATATCTTAGTGGGCATCAAATCGGCAAGTGCTATTATTCAAAAAATCTTTTAAAATAAAAAATAGTATAGAAACACTCCTGGACTAACCATTTTCGCAAGGCACGACAGAGCCTTTTATATGGCATGTCAGTCATTCCTATGGGCAAAGAGTTATATATTAGAGGTGCCATATAAGCACAGTTTTTTTTTAAACAGTTCTAGCTTAAGCACAGACATCTTTAAGGGCACGTGATTAATTTTTCTTTTAAATGTATTGTCGTTAGCGCTGAAGAGATGACTGTGGTATTTAACAAATTTAGCTGTTTTGTAGATGTATATGCAGGGAACAGTTAGTAGATTAT